GGTGGACTGGAGTAGTTTGAGATCAAACGAACCAGGATAAAAATATCTTGTCAATTGCTTTAAGATTTCAGTTTTACAATTCAACCCCCCCTTCTTGTGTTTTTCACCACTTCAATAAATTGTATTTGACTACATCACACGTGTGCAAAAGGTGGTGAATCAACTCACTAGAAATGGAGAGACAGTACCTGATGCACGAGTTGTTGAAAAGATCTTGAGATCTTTAACAGACAAGTTTGAAAATATTGTATGTGCAATAGAAGAGTCGAAGGACCTTTCGACGCTCTCAATCGAAGAGCTCGCTGGTTCTCTCGAAGCACATGAACAACAAAAGATGAAAAAGAAAGAAGAAGCAGACGAAGAAGCAGACCAAACCAAGGAATCGAATAAAGACGAAAAGGTACTCTTTTCTCACAACTTTCGAGGAAGAGGACGTGGACGTGGAGGTCGTGACAATGGTCGAAGTGGTAGAGGTAGCAACTTCGAAAGAGGACAATCGAGCCAACAAAATTGGCGTGGCAGAGGACGTGGTCAAAGAGGTGGTCGTTCGAATTATTCCAACTTCGAATGCTACAAGTGTGGGAAGTATGGTCATTATGCGAAGGATTGTAACTCCTACAAAAGTTACAACTGTGACAAAGTGGGACATCTTGCAAAAGACTGTCGAATCAAAAAGAAGATTGAAGAAACAACCAACCTAGCCTTGGAAGCTGAATCGAATGAAGGCTTTCTCCTGATGGCTCAAAATGAAATCAACACCAATGACAGTGTTTGGTATCTTGACTCAGGAGCAAGTAATCACATGTGTGGTTACAAACACCTGTTTAAAGATATGAAGAGAATTGAAGATGGCAATGTGTCTTTTGGAGATGCATCAAAAGTGAAGGTCGAAGGAAAGGGCACAATTAGTTACTTGCAGAAGGATGGCTTGATTGGATCAATCGAAGACGTTTACTATGTACCAGATCTCAAGACCAACATATTAAGTCTGGGACAACTTACAGAAAAAGGTGCTTCGATACTGATGAAAGATCGAACACTGCATTTGAAGGACAAAGCAGGATATCTGATTGCCGCTGTCGAAATGGAAAGAAATCGAATGTACAAACTGAACCTGAGGAACATTTGAGAGAAATGTCTGCAAATCGAAGTGCAAGACAAAGCGTCACTATGGCATATGCGCTTTGGTCATCTACATCATGCTGGTTTGAGAAGGTTGGCGAAAAGGAACATGGTGCATGGACTTCCAGACATGGATTTCGAAGGAAAATTCTGTGAAGAATGTGTGCTCAGCAAACAAACAAGAACCTCATTTCAAAGGAAGGCAGAGTATCAAGCTAAACATATTCTCGAATTGATACATACTGACATATGTGGGCCAATCACTCCAGAATCCTTCAGTGGAAAAAGGTACTTCATTTCTTTTATTGATGACTTCTCAAGAAAAACTTGGGTCTACTTCCTGAAAGAAAAGTCTGAAGCATTAGAAGTGTTCAAAAAGTTCAAAGTAATGGTAGAGAAGGAAACAGACATACACATCAAAGCAATTCGATCTGACAGAGGAGGTGAGTATACTTCAATGGCCTTTGTGAAGTATTGTGAAGAACAGGGCATAAGGAGATTCCTAACTGCACCATATTCACCTCAGCAAAATGGTGTGGCTGGAAGGAAGAATCGAACTATTTTTGACATGGTTCGATCAATGCTCAAAAGCAAGAACATGTCTAAAGAATTCTGGGCAGAAGCAGTACAATGTGTTGTTTATATTCAGAATAGATGTCCACATTCGAAGTTAGAAGACAAAACACCACAAGAAGCATGGAGTGGACATAAGCCAACAATTTCTCATCTCAAGGTATTTGGTAGTATAGCTTATACACATGTACCAGATCAACGAAGAACAAAGCTTGAAGACAAAAGTCAGAAGTACATATTCATTGGATATGATGAGAAGACGAAAGGGTACAAGCTCTTCAATCCCATAAGAAAGAAAGTGATCGTGAGCAGAGACGTTCGAATGAACGAAGCAAGCAAGTGGGACTGGAGCAATTCGACAGAGGTTGTTGACACAGTCGAAGAAACAACTGTAGTTGTACCAACAAGTATTCCAATAGAACATGAAGAAACAGAAGATGGAGATGAACCTCTACAACCCAAAATGAGAAGTTTGCAAGATTTGTATAATTCAACAAGTGAGGTGCATCTTGTGTGTCTTCTGGCAGATGCTGAAAATATCAGTGTCGAAGAAGCGTTACGAGATAAGAAGTGGAAAAGTGCCATGGACGAAGAAATTAGAGCAATCGAACGCAACAATACTTGGGAGCTAGTCGAATTACCAAAAGGAAGTCAACCCATTGGTGTAAAATGGGTATTCAAGAAAAAGATGAATGCTCAAGGAGAAATCGAAAGATTCAAAGCACGGCTGGTTGCGAAGGGATACAAACAGAAAGCAGGAATTGACTATGATGAAGTGTTTGCGCCTGTTGCAAGAATGGAGACAATTCGATTACTCATTTCTCAAGCTGCTCAGTTCAAAGGCCAATATTTCAAATGGATGTCAAGACAACATTCTTGAATGGTGTGCTCGAAGAAGAAATCTATGTCGAACAACCACTTGGATATATGAGAACTGGAGAAGAGAAGAAGGTGTTGAAACTGAAGAAATCACTGTATGGGCTGAAGCAAGCACCTAGGGCATGGAACACACGTATTGACACATATTTCAAAGAGAATGGGTTCGAGCAATGTCCTTATGAACCCGCCCTCTATGTGAAGAAAAATGGAAGTAAATTATTACTTGTTGCTCTCTATGTTGATGATCTTATCTTTCTAGGCAGTGATGTTTAGATGATCGAAGATTTCAAGAGCACCATGACAAGCGAATTCGAAATGACAGACTTAGGTCTGATGAGATTCTTTCTTGGTCTGGAGGTTCGACAAGAAGAAGCTGGAATTTTCATCTCACAAGAAAAATATGCAAAGGAAATCTTAGAAAAATATAAAATGAAGAATTGCAATCCAACTTCGACGCCAATGGAACCAGGTACAAAACTATCAAAGTTTGATGGAGGAGAACGGATCGAAGGAAGCAAATATCGAAGCTTGGTAGGTAGCCTTCGATATCTCACATGCACAAGGCCAGACATTTCACTAAGTGTTGGCATAGTAAGTCGATTCATGGAGGAACCAGTACACACACATTGGAAGGCGCTGAAACGAATTCTAAGATACATCCAAGGAACAATATCACTAGGGATGTTTTATTCAAAAACAGAAGACTACAAGTTAGTTGGTTATTCTGACAGTGACTGGTGTGGAGACATAGACGGTCGAAAGAGCACTGCTGGATATGTGTTTTTCATGGGAAACACAATATTTACTTGGTTGTCGAAGAAGCAACCTATAGTAACACTTTCGACGTGTGAAGCTGAATATGTGGCAGCATCCTGGTGCGTCTGTCATGCAGTATGGCTCAGAAGGTTGATAAGCAAGATGGAGCTGAAACAGGAAGATCCAACAATAATACAAGTGAACAATAAATCAGCTATCGAATTGGCAAAGAATCCAGTGAATCATGAACGAAGCAAACATATTGATGTTCGATTTCACTTCATTCGTGAACATGTGAAGGAGGGAAGTGTCGAATTAAGGCATGTAGCAAGCAGAAACCAAGCAGCGGATATTTTTACAAAACCACTATCAAAAGAGGTCTTCGACAGAGGCAAGAAGATGATAGGAATGCTGAATGGAAGAAACATTTAAGTTTACAGAGGAGTTTTGTTGAATAAACATTAAATGTATTAGTAATAAGTTTTACATTAAATATGGTAGTAGGAAGGACAAAAGGTTAGTAAGTTATGATAGTTTATTAGTAGCAGTTATGTTTTAGTTTATGTTTAGAATTGTAAAAGTTGTTTGGGTCTATAAAAGACCAAGTGTGTATTTTATTTTACAAGAGCAATATAGAAGTATTCATATATAATTCTGATTCATTTTTATAACAGAGTCAACATTTGTTAGTTTATTAGATAGGAGTTTGAGACGTTTGCGTTATGCTTTAATGGATGGAAAATCCTCCAGGTTGGTGTTTCTAAACTGATATTCAAATTGAATAACTTCTGAATGTTTCTTATCATGGAACAAAGAGGCAGTGAAGTTCCATTGCTACACAATAACATCTAGACGACTCTAAATATAAAAAACGTTAACTTTAATGATGATTGTTGTTTGCCTTACATATGTATCAGAAAGTGAAATAAAATGGTCAAACATATTGTGTGTGTGCCCATCATAAGCCGATATCATAAAAGAACATAATTATCTACTTTTCATTGATATGATTTGTGAAAGATATATAACTATTATCAAATCCTATTTAAAAACTAATAATTATGTTACAAGTTACTATACAATAAATATATAGATAGACATATTTTAATAGAATGTTTTCACTCATTATTTAAAATTACCATGATTAGTATACATTGTAGTAGTTTTTATTTTTTGTATATAGAAACATATATTGCACTACTAATTACATCTTCTTTTTTAAACCTACTGCAGTATTAACTTTCTCTATAGTTTATATTTTATATTTTTAAAATGAGAATAAGTTACCAGCTTGTATGCCAGCAGGCCAGTGTCTGTCGTGTCGTCTTTATGTATTATTGGATAAATGAAAGATATATAAATAAGACAAGCTTAAAAAAATTAGAATATTGTAAAATATACATATGATTCACAAAAACTATAGTCTATAAAACCACTAAAAGTTTTACCAAAAAATAAACAACTTGAAATAGCTTTTCAGCCCATGGTATTTTTGAATTCTTTGGGCGTTCATTTTTCTATTAACATTGAAATCTCGATCTTTCTATATATAACAATCTCCCCCACTCTTCTTGCTCCACCATATCTACAAAAACTAGTCATCAATTTTCTCTGTAATCTGAAAAGCCACAAAATCACTTATTAAATATCAAGAATCATTAATACAGAAGATGAGTTCAACAAGCAGAGCATGGGCAGCAGCAGGCAGTGTTGCAGTCGTGGAAGCTTTGAAGGATCAAGGTATATGTAGATGGAATCATACACTAAAGTCACTTCAAAATCATCTCAAAAACAATGTCAGATCGTATTCTCAAGCAAAGAAACTTTTATCCTCCACTTGCTGCGCTTCTTCTAGTGTTGTCTCCACGGAAAGACAAAAAGAGAAAGCAAAGCAATCAGAGGAATCTTTAAGAACAGTCATGTACCTGAGTTGTTGGGGTCCTAATTAATTAGAAAATACTATATTCTTTTAACTTTTCTCATGTGTTGTGCATCCTTGAAACAAATTGATGTATATTATGATGAATTAATCAAGATACCAACCAACACGGAATTTGGATCATTCTAACTATGCTTCCTATTATACTCTTCTTCTTCTTTTATCTTAGCTTTTTTATTTTATAATCAAAATTGTACTCGATGAAGTGTATAAAGGGTACTCAAACTCAAACCTATAACAAAATTATCAGTATTGCATTATAGATAAACACTTCAGACCAATATAAGACATTAGAATGAAGATATTTTTCAGCAGGGTTCTTAAGAAAATGATTAGATATATTTATTTTAATAATAAAATTAATATCATTACTAAAACATCCTTATTTATTATAGTTATTAGAGTAGTTAAAGAGTGTAAAAACTAATAAATAGGAGTATAATAGTGAAAAAACTAATAAATATTATATTGATATTTTAAAAAAATATTTATTTTGAGACAAAAAAAATACAAATGAAACAATTATTATGAGACAGATAGAATAATATTATAGTCAAAATTGAATAATCAAAAGATTGTCTACTATGAAGATCGAGGAATTGCAATGTTTCTTGGAAGCACACAAATAAACGATGATTGAAAGAAAAGATAAAAGAGTGATCGAGCAGATTCAACCGCCTCAAATATCCTAAAAAGGTGGTGGTTCAAAGTCAAATCACATGAAAAATCATCGAGAATAGATAGTCAACTTTGATGATTTAATAAATAAAATGATAAGATTCATGAATAACATAATCATTACATTAGAGGGATTTGATGATGTTTTGATCAATTTTATACAAGAAAATCAAGTAGTCATCATTGATGTATTGTATGTGAAATTGATATGTCAGTAACAATGTGATTGTATCTCTATTTTAATGTCTTGCCGCAATATATATATATATATATATATATATATATATATATATATATATATATATATATATATATATATATATATATATATATATATATATATATATATATATATATATATATATATATATATATATATATATATATATATATATATATATATATATATATATATATATATATATATATATATATATATATATATATATATATATATATATATATATATATATATATATATATATATATATTTGATTTATATTTTTTTGTACTTTTTATTTATCCTTTTGTCGTATTTTAGATTTATTATTTTATCATGTTGGTGTATCTCTTAGCTATCCTTGATTCTCTCTTGTATCGAAACCATTTACAATATTTTTTAATTAAGAAATTTATCATAGTCAACAATGTATGGCTTGAATCACAAGTTAGATGACTTGAAACGTGATTTCTTTTAGCTTGATTCGAGTCAAAACTTGGTTTGACTCGAGTCATGAGTAAATGGGAAATTTATGTTTTGGCACTAAAAGGCTTGATTTGATTCAAGGTTCTATATGGCTCGAATCATGAATGTACTCAAACTTTTGGAATTCATGTTTGACTCTAGCACATTTAAAAATAAAAAAGTTTCTCTCTCTATGATAATAATTTAATGGGTTAAATATGGTTGTAGTCTCCGTAAATAATCTAAAATCTGATTTTAATCCCTACAAAATTTTCCTTTAAAGAATGATCCTCTTAAAAAATTTTCGTCCCTCATTTTAGTCTATACCGTTAATTTGGTATAACAGATGTTGATGTAGCATGCCAAATTGCACGCCACGTCACTTAATGTCAAATGCAACAAAAAAAACATGTTAGTTTGCGGGGGGTTACAAACCTACTTAAAATTGTTAAAAAAACAATCAAAATGAAATCCAATAAAACCACAACACAACATCACAATCTTATCATCATAAACAACAATTAAAATGTATCATCATCATTAGAGGATATATGAGATCAACTGAGGATTCGTGGGGTGCTTGGTAGCTAAACATTAGATAAGGTTTAGGAATCATCTTTGTGTATCAAAAGAATCCACATGAGAATGCTCAGAAGCTGTTTGATGAAATGCCTGAGAGAAATGTCACCACATGGTTTCTTCCTGCCTTCCTCCTGAATCACTCTGCAACCATACATTTGCAGACTAAGAGGTAAAACATGACCTGTAATGGCACTAATATGCATATCAAAATAATTTTCCAAGTCCATAGCATAGTGAGTTACTTATCAATATAGTTATACTACAGTAGGTTATTAACATCATGATGTGATGAATGCCTATAAATATTGTAACTTAGTGGTTTGACAATTTGCTTTGAGAGACTCAATTATCCATGTAGTATTTTTTTATCTTCATTTCACATAGATTCAACTAACAAAATAGACTTTTTTGAAACTATAACACTGGTACTTTCATAAAATGTGTTTGAACAACTTGTTCATGCATTAAAACTACTCTAAGACTATTTCAACAAACTTGTCCATGCCTGATGCGCATTCATCCCGACCTACTTCTGCAATACTTTTGTATTTTGATCTAAAACAATACTACCATAATTTAGAAGCCAGCACATAACTCATCACCTCTCAAGCTAAATACTTCACCAGCTAAGAAAAATTATCATTGATCTATTGTTGGCTCCTAAATTCGACACCTTTGTTTTGATTGATGGCAGCCATTAAAAGCTGAAAGATGCTTTCGACTGGCTAAGCCTGTCGAAGTGCCTGTCGAAAGATGGCAAAAATACTTAGAAGATTTCTTCCAAGGAAGAAGGCTGAATTGCCTTCGACGTCGAAGGAGTTTTCGTCGAAGACGTCTCTTGACGAACGTGTTCGATGGTCCAGAGTGGAGCAGTTTGAAATTCAAAGCTTTGGAGGGAAAACGGTTTCCAGCAGTTACTACGTGCGAACGTGCAAGGATCTGGAGCGTCGAGCATGGAGAACGTGACAAGTGGCTTGATCTCGAAGCAGTGTAACTGCCCGACGGTTACTTGGAATGTTTTTGTATAAATAGGAGTAGAAGTGTAGTTTCTCGCGTGTGTTCACAATAGATACATAGTCACTCATTTAGATTCAAGTACCCAGTGTGAGCGAACGAATTGTTGAGAAATGTATGTGTGAAACACCAATTTATCAATTCAAGTCATTTACTTTTCCAGTATTTTACATGCTTTTTCCCTTTAAGATTCCTGTCGAACCTTTACATTCAAGCCTTGTTATTTTACCAAGCCTTTTCCTTATGCAATTTACTTTAAACAATTTACTTAAAGCCTTATCCACATTAATTAAACTTCAAAATCAACCTATGTCCATAGGATCAATCTGATCGATCCTGCGAGTAACCAAATAAGTAACCATTTGGAGGATCAGCGGTTGTTTACCAAATCCCAAGGTAAACAAATTGGCACACCTGGTGGGACCGTGTGTTGATTGTTGAAAAAATCTCATCTTTTCGAGTTGTATGTTATTGAGGAGTGGTAGGATATACACCAACGACAATAATACTGCCAGAAGAAGGGAAGAGATGGCGAATCCGCCAAACAATAATGAAATTCCACCACCAAGTGTGGGAGCAACGGTTAATATGACCGTTAGTGAAGCGACGAATGTTGGTTCGATGCCAGCAGTGTCAGTCACAACCACGGGGCCAATAACTTCGTTAACAGGCTCCAGAATGCCTTTGGGAACCCCCCCTCCAAGGGGAAATACTGGCCCAAGGCCAGTGGTTCCCCCAGGATTTATTCCATTCTATGGTATGCCAACTTCTGAACTGGCAAGCCTGACGAATGTTGCGTTCACTTATTCAGAACCTTTCGTGAGTGCTACTTCGCCACTCCAAGGCTCTGGAGTAGGCATGGCGAATAGAAATAGGACCCAACTCCTAGGAGGAACGTCCCAAGTAGCCCATGGTCTTACAAATGCCTCGACAGCAGTCTTGAGGCAACAGATGGACGAAAGCAACCATGATATGGTGCAAATGTTGGCACAAACTTTGAGTACAGTGCTAAATCCTCTAATACAAAATACTACTCAGTCGAATCAGCAAGTTACAGCGCAAATGACGCGTTTGGCTGACTTCTTTGGAGTACCCCCACCTATTCGACAGCCCCAAAGGGCGCAAATAAGAGGAAATCAGGGGATATTTGTAGAGGAAGAAACCATCATTAATCAGGCCCAACAGCCTGTAGAACAACCTGTCGAAGAACCTAGGGTAATAGCCCCAGAGGTTAGGTTAGTTAACAGAAACCAAAATGCTGACGAAGTGGTTCAGCATGTCCAATACCAAAACATGGGGTTGGAAAACAATCTGGCAACCATGATCGAAAGGATCATGACTCAGAATGGGATGAACATGGGCTTTCGAAGGCCCAACTTTACTTCTCCTTTGTCAGAATATGTGTTACAAACTGACTTACCCCCTAGAACCAAAGTCCCCAAATTTACTAAGTTCTCTGGGGACACGACAGAATCTACTGTCGAACATGTGGCTAGGTATTTGATCGAAGCAGGAGACATTTCAAATAATGAAAACCTAAGGATCAAATACTTCCCAAGTTCCTTAACCAAGAACGCTTTTACTTGGTTTACAACTCTACCCCCCAATTCGATCCACCATTGGACCCAATTGGAAAGATTGTTCCATGAACAATTCTATATGGGGCAAACCAAGATAAGCCTGAAAGAACTGGCGAGTGTGAAGAGACGTTTCACTGAACCTATAGACGAATATCTGAATAGGTTTAGGTTGCTTAAGGCGAGATGTTTTACACAAGTGCCAGAACATGAGCTGGTCGAAATGGCCGCAGGCGGTTTAGACTATTCCATTAGGAAGAAGCTAGATACCCAGTACCTAAGAGATATGGCCCAACTGGCCGATAGAGTTCGACAAGTCGAACGCCTTAAAGCTGAAAAAGATAAGGCAACAAAAACTCACAAGAGAGAAAGAATAGCTTACGTTGAGATGGATGACGAAGAGCTAGAATCCTTCGACGATACTTTAGCTGTCGAAGAAGGAGAAGTCGATTTAGCAGAACTAAAACAAGGGCC